ATATATAAAGTGTATCTCTTTATCTATCTATCTAGATAGATAGATGATAGATAGATAGATAGATGATAGATAGATAGATAGATACAAAGAGACAGGGACTCACTCTGTCAAATAAGCTGGAGTGCCGCGGTACAATCATGGCTACCTGCAGCCTCGACCTCCTGGGCTCAGGTGCTCCTCCCCACTCAGCCTCCCAAATAACTAGGACCACAAGCACATGGCACCACGCCCAGCTAATTTTTGTATTTTTAGTAGAGACAGAGTTTCATTATGTTGGCCAGGCTGGTCTTAAACTCCTGACCTCGTGATCCACCCGCCTCGGCCTCCCAAACTGCTGGGATTACAGGCGTGAGCCACCATGCCCAGCCCTGACTGTGTATTTTCCAGTAGCTTGTCTTTGAGCTCATCGATTCTTTCCTCTGCTTGACCCATTCTGCGGTTGAGAGCCTCTATCAATTTTCCAGTTCAGCAGATGTTTTTCTCAGTTCCAATATTTCTGTTTTTTTAATTTCAATATCTTTGTTAAAATTCTCTGACAAGTCTCTGAATTGATTTTCTGGGTCGTCTTGGAGATCACTGAGTTTCCCCACAACTGCTATTTTGGATTCTTGATCAGAGGCTCACATGTGGCTATCTCATTAGGGACAAGATACTTCGTCCCATTAAGTGGTTCGTAGTTCCCCGTTTGCTTGTTTCTTGTGAATGCACATCTATGTCTTTGCATTGAAGGATTAGTTATTTATTCCAGTCTTCTCTGTCTGGCTTGTTTTGGTTTTTACTGGATATGTTTGTTTAGAGATTCTTTGCAATGTACCTGTTGAATTTTTTTTTTCTGCTAGGTTGCTGCCTCCTTCTTCGGCACTAGAGGGCAACATAAGCCCAGGTTTTGCTCGGCTCCAATAAAGGATCAGAGTGAGGCTTCCCGTCCCAAATCGGGGAGGTCCCACAGGTGGATACCCCGGCAGTGTGGGAAGACTGGCGGGAGGTCTGCCCAGGGAACCTACGGACTGTGCCTCCTGCCGTGTAGCTCAACAGGCTGACTTGGTGCCTCCTTTGGCTGCATTACAGGGCAGCTTTTAGGGCTGGAGATGCTAGTCCCACCTCTTCCCTTTGTCTCTGGCTGGCCTCAGGGGTATTTCTCCTTTAAGCATTCTGAATGCTTCCCTTGGGTTGAAACAGAACAAGTCTCCTGCCAGGGAGCCCAAGATAGCAGGGAAGCTGGTAGTCCACCTTAATCTCATTTTTCCAGTGCAGAAGCCGTGAGTCAGGGGAGATGTGCCCATGCTTGGTGCAGGTAGACTGGGGAAAAGGGACATCATAGATATAGAATTCCAGTTCTCTTACTGCTTGCTCAGAGTTTATTCACTTCTCTGTGGCCCTGGGAACTGTCTGTCTTCATATCTGAGTTCTGGGATGTTGCTGGAGATTATCTTGGTGCTGAATATTTGTCTTGGATTTTCTGTGGCAGAGAGTGAAGCCAGCTGGCTTCTGTGCTGCCGTCTTGGAACTAACCATCTCCTCAATGTTTTTTTCATCTGCTTTTAATTCTAGGTGATAATAACAACTGAACTCCATAAACCAGCAGGTGCCACATGTGGGTGCATTTGCCACATATTGATCCTCCAAGGCGGGGGTTGGTTAACCCACCCTGGGCTCTACTTCCCACCCCCACCTGGCTATCCCGTGGGGGTTGCTGAGCCGCAGAACCTGGCTGTCCTCACCTGTACAACAGGAGGGGGTGGGGAGTCAGAGGAGGCAGGGGGGCCCTGGAGGGTCTTGGTGCTTCAGGGTGGGAGTCCCCACAGCTGGGCTGATGTTAAAACTCGGGCAAGGGACCAACAAGAGATGTGTTTCATTTGCAACAGGAGAAACACTGTCATGAGATAAGGTAGAGCTGCATTAAGAGTCGGTGAGCAGAATGTTGTAAGTGAATCATAATTTCATGAAATATCCACGCAGGACACTTCGGAATCATCGCAGCCTCTCTGAGCAGCCCGCCCTCCCACTGACAAGGCCCACGACAGCCTCAGAAACGGGAAAACAGATCGACTTTCTCCAAACTGCTCACGCCCCAAGCTAGGAAGGAGCAGCTTAACTTTGAGCCAATTCCAGAAGTAAACAGTGCTGGGTTTAGGGAAGGCGGAGCCGGACTCCATGTGAGGGCGTCGGATGCCAACCCTGCACAGTTGGGTGGGGGGCTGCGCCCAGGAGGAGCAGGTGCGGGGGACAAGGCCAGCTGGACACATCTGAGCGGGAAGCTGGGATCCCACGCTGGATACGGAGCCCCCTGCCTGCACCCAAGACCCCACCAGCCAGTCATCGTGCGGACTCCAGACCCCCACCAGCCAGTCATCGTGCGGACTCCAGACCCCCACCAGCCACAGTCATCGTGCCGACTCCAGACCCCCACCAGCCAGTCAACCCAGGGAGGTGAGCATGACTCAGTGGGCACCCCCACAGTGGGTCAGCTTCGCTAGGGCACAGCCCAGGAACCCAGGGAAAGTGAATTGCTGTGCTCTATTTTAAAGGCCTTTTCACATCAGCGTACTAAGCTCCTCCTCATTCTTTTTAACCCACTGCCAAGGGTTTTCCAGCCAAGGCAGGGCCGAGTGGTGTCAGAACAGGAGGCCACACTGTGAACTTAGTTCCCAAACATGGCGGCTTCGTGCCCTGAGTGTTCCGGGTCTTAGCTGCCCACCTCGAGGTGCTCCTCCGGGGCCTGGGAAGAGGTTCTAGCCAGGTGGGGAGGCTGCAGGGAAGTCAGTGGGGTGCGGGCGGTGTGGGCACCCCCCAGCCCCAGCCAGCTCCGGTCCTGGTGGTCTTGGGCCAGAATGGATCTGTTCATGAGGTGGGCGCCAGGCCCGTGGGCTCAGGGAGATGTCAAAGCCTCTGGTTTTGGTGGGAATGGTAGGGGACCTCTTGCTCCCTCCTCCTCCTGAAAAGCCAAGACGCACCAACTTTCCGAACCTACACGCCCACCCTCCCCACACTGAAGCGGAGTGCACCGCCCTGGAGGACTGAGGATCGTGGCCAGGGCGCGCCCTGGGAGAGACAACCCTGGAGAGCAAGACCGGACGGCGGGCGAGTCCGGGATCTGCGTCTGAGCCGCTGGGAACCCCTGAGCGCCGTCCACGGAGCTGAGGAAGGGGTTCCCCGACGGGATGAGAGCCGTCTACACAGCGCGCTTCCTCTTCTCTCGTTAGCGCCGCGGAACCAGCCTCTGGTTCTGCACCTCGGCTCTGGGAGCAGCGCCCGGCTTTGATGAGCGCTACCCCGGGACTGCCCAGCCTTTGCTCCGCTGGCCCCGCCAGGCCCGGCTCCGCGAAGCCCCCAGTGTCCAGCCCAAGGCCCCGATTCCGCAAGGACAGGGCCCTGGGGCAGCATTGGAGCAGGGCGCGGAGGCCAGTCCTCCTAGCATGAGGTCATTGCAGGTTTTGAGGAAAAAAACAGCGACCTCACCCCCTCTAGAACGCGGTACCTTGTTTAAGGAAGCTCCTGGGCCTTCAGGGAGTCCCGCCGGCTCCTCGGCACACCCCTTCCCTCCCTCCCCCGCACCACCGCCTCCCTGGGAGCCTCCCCTCGGGCTGCGCTTTCAGCCAAACAGCGGGAGGTCTTCCAGGAGCCTGCCCAGTCCCCACAGCAGCCCAGAGACGCGCACTCCCACCTGTACCTGCCAAGCCCTCAGAGACGGCGCCTGGACACGCCCCGCACGGGAGGAGCTCCGCCTCAGCACCCCTGCAAGTGGCACAACCCAGAAAACCTGTGAGAGGCCCCTGAGCAGCCCAGAAAGTGGCTGGAAGACGCACAGCAGCTCACCCCTCTGTAAGGGCAAGGACCAGACAACACGCTGAGCCCTGCTTTTGCAGAGGGGCGACGCTCCAGGCCAGGCGCGCTGGGCAGGTGCCAATCCTATTTCACACCTTTGTGTTTACATCATCTTATTTTGCATTTTATGTCTAATTAATAATATGCAGCTGGCCAGGTGCAGTGGTTCGAGCCTGTAATCCCAGCACTTTGGGAGGCTGAGGCAGGTGGATCACTTGAGGGCAGGAGTTTGGGACCAGCCTGGGCAACATAGCAAAACCCCATTGCCAATAAAAATACAAAAATTAGCCAGCCGTGGTGGCAGGCATCTACAGTCCCAGCTACTCCGGAAGCTGAGGCAGGAGAATCACTTGAACCCAGGAGGCGGAGGTGGCAGTGAGCTATCGAGCCACTGCACTCCAGCCAGGGCAACAGAGACTGACTGTCTCAAAAAAAAAAAAAAAAATTGATAATGCAGTTGACCACATATTATGTGGTCAGTCCAGGCAGTACCGCTCCCCCGCCCACCTCAGCCCTCTGTCCCTACAGCTCCAGGCCCTCCCCAGCCCCTCCCCTGGACAAGACATGATGCCCAGAGGGTGAAAATCCACCAAGGTTAAGCCAGAAACAAAAAGCTCAAAGCTTCAGCATCTCCCTCCGCTCAGACCCATACTTAGAAAGCAGATTCCGCTCGACAGCACCATGAGGCTGTGGGTGGGAAAGAGAAGGGGCACAAACTGCACCTGCCCTTAGCTGGGCCTCTCGGCAGCCCTGAGTGCTCCTGGGCTCCACCTGGCTCCTGCACCCGCTTCCCTTCTGCGTGGGCGGTTGGTGATCCTGGGGGCCACCAGCTGCTGGTGGTGGGGAGGGGCCTGCCGGGCGGGGCTGGCTGTGGGAAGGAGAGCCACGACAGATAGGAAGCACCTGCCAGATGCAGGACAGAAACTATCTAAGGAAGGCTTTATTTCCAAGTGTCTATGGAGATGTTACAAACGGTGTAGGCTTAAAAAGCATTTAAAACCTTTATGTAATTAAAATTTTAAAATAAAATATGATCAGGTGAAATAATAAATACTGCCATCCCATGGCAATTTTTAAGATAAAGGCGTGTCCCCGCCCCCGCCCCTCGCAGTCAGCACCCCACCTGTCCTCGGGGCTCACCCAGCCGTCTAGGGCTGTAGGAATAAAATGGCCACACCGTCCAAATCTTGACTTTATTTTTAATATAAAAAATGCAAATTTGGAAACCCACCCTACTTTCCCCAACATAATGCTTTACCTCTTAAAAATAAAAATAAAGTACTAATTCTATATACATCACATGTACCATACAAAAATGTATCCAAAGTTTCTATTGCTACCAAAGTGTTCTAAATTAAAACAAGTTACAGAAAGCCCCTCATTGTAAACAAAAGATTACAAGTTATAAAATCAAAGTACACACAGGCCAGAGTCATTTATACAACGCAATGCATTCTGCTCCCAAGCCGAGTTGAATTTTTATGTGCCTGTATAAAAATGCATATCAATATACCTTTGCAAATGTATTTTTCATTATAAAGCAAATGAATACACTTTCTACAATAAATAATCCGCTGGGAGGCACACCTGCGGGGTGGAGGCGGGCGGGACAGCGGGCGCGGGCAGCGGGCGTTTTTGGTGATCTGCAAGTGATGTGCACAGCATAACTTTATTCTCCCCTTTCCACAAAGTACCATTCAAAATAATGTCCTTTTCTTTCTTAAAATACACATTTGTCATTGTAAATTTACATCCCGTCTTATTAAATAAGTGGTACTCTGTGTAAAGAGGATGACTTACAAAATTATTAAACATTCAAAAGTCTTTAAGAAAAAGCTACATGTCAAAGACAGTGACGCCAGCAGCACGGCCCGGGGTCGTGTGACAGACGCACTGCGCTGCCCGGACGCGCCCACCCCACTCACAGCGCCCAGACGGAGATGGGTTCCTAGAAAACGTGGAAATAAAACCTCCCCCTCCCTGGGGAAAAAGAATTAAAGAGCTACAACTAAAAACCAGAATAAGTTAAGTTTTGAACAATATACAAACATGTACAGCTTATCAACACTATGGACAAGACCCGCACTGGCAGCCGGGCCGTCAGTCAATGTCACTGAGGTCGCTGGTCGGCTCCCCGTGGACGCGGCTCAGGTGGTTCATAGCGCGGTCAAAAGCAATCCGCACGGCCTTCCGGATGCTGGAGTTCCTCCCTTCCATCATCTTTAACTTGTCTATAGTTTCGTCAATACCAAGGGGAACCATTTTGGACTTAGGAAGCCACTGCCTTTTTAAAAGGAAAAACATGGGGAAATCATTGCTTGCACGTGGTGCTTCACGTGCTCCATGTAATCATCTAACACATCCACTGCCCTCTGATAGAAAGGGACCCTGCTCAGCACCACCAAGACAGCTGGGCCCTGTGTAGGGACAGGCCCGAGGCCAGGGGTGCACCCCTCCCTTCCCCTCCCCGGCTTGGGAATATGGGGAGCTAAGTAAGGCAGAAAAACCATCACCTCCTCCTCCACCTCCAAAACGTTTCCCAGTGCCTGCCGAGTGACAAGACATGCACACACGAAGCCCAGAGCCAGGGTGGGCCCCGGAGCAGGGGCCGGTGGTTGGGGAGACCCCATCAAAGGGGCCCTCGGATGGACAAGGTGTGGGCCTCGCTCAGGGCCTGACAAGGAGCAACGGCCATGTGGCCAAAGAGGCAGAGGTCGGGGCAATGCAGAGAAAGACGGTAGGGATGCCTGTGTTGCCAGCCATGCTCCAGGCACACCACACGCAGGTGGCCCTGAGCCTCTGCGCCAGGTCCCCAGAGCAGCCAGCTCCACGGGGAACCAGGAAGCACCCGCCTGGGCCACGTGCGCAGGGCACAGCTGGGGCTACATCTCTTCCCAGAGGCATGTGCTGCCAGCGTGTCCTACACAGAGGCATCTTGGGGTCTGAACCCTGGCACATCAGAGTCCCAGGCACTGTGCGAAAAAGCAGCCCAGGGCCCAGGGGGAGCCTCCTGTGATGGGGTAGACGTCTGAGCAGCGCTGGGTGACGCCAGGACGGAAGGCTCTAAGCACAGGGCCAGAGGCCAGGACCGGGCGGGGGCCGTGTCCTGCAGCACAGGGGTCCAGGAGCCCAGCAGCGGGACCCCCAACACTACAGCCTACACGGGTAAGGAATAGAGGAGAGCCCGGGCCAATGAGCTCAGGTGAGAGGGAAACGAAGCCATCAGACAGAGACAGACCCTGTGCTCAGTGCCCATCCCACAGTCCCAGCGGGGGTGCTGGGCAGCGCCCTTCTCCACCAGGCAAACAGCAGAGCACCCACCTCTTTAGCTGTGCCAGGGCCCAGCAGATAAAGAGGCTGCTCACCACAGGGACACTCAGGTCACCAAGCCCACGGCCCCCACACAACCACCCCAGCCGGTCCCCGGAGTCTAAGGCCTCTTGACTCACCAACTTCTCTTATTATCAAAAAAGAGAACGAGGAACAGCTTCTCATCGGACTTGGTCTGCATGTGCTCCCCAATCTTCAGCACATCTAGGGGTGGGGCTGGGATGGTGACGCCGTTGTGGTGGCCAGGCACACGCGGCATCTTGGGGTCAATGATCTGCACGAGAAGGACCCACTGAGGTCACTGTGAGGCTCACACCCACAGATGACTGCACCTGTCACCGCACCACCCCCACCCCCCCCAGCTGTGTGAGCCTCCTCGGACCACCCCCACCCCCCAGCTGTGTGAGCCTCCTCAGGACCCGCAGGTGCTGGGGCCCTGGGCACCACGAGAGCCATACTCACCAGTGCTGGGTAGGAGGGGTAGCCGCTGCACTTGGCCCACACCACCTTCAGGGGCTCCAGCACTGAGGCGGCAGCATCGGTGGAGATCCACATGCTGTTCTGGCCAACTTCTGTGGAGAGAGGCACGGCGTCAGCAGGACAGAGGGGGCGTGCCCTGCCCCCCCACAAAAGGTACACAGCAACAGGGTGGGGTCTCCGGAGCACAGCCCAGTTCCCAGGCCTTTCTCACCCACCCCCGGCAGCACCACTGCCTCTCTTGTGGAGTCCAGGCCCCTGCATCCCCCTCCGTCCCTGCAGCCCACCTGGGGACCCACCAGCCTCCCACGGACCCAGAGAATCTTCTGCCCTCCGGGCTGGAAGGTTCTGACTCTAGGTGCCCAGCATAGTCCCTTCTGAGACCTCCTTGCCCCAAGGACGGGGCTCCCAGCGTGCTCCTGCCTCATTTATGCAGCTGACACCCCAAATCCGAAACCAAAGTCCTGGCTCCCCCTCCGCCAGACCAGCTCCCTGCTGTCCCTCCCACCGGGGCGGTCTCCGTCCTGATGCCCCCTCACAGCATGGCTGCCTTCCACAGTGAGGGCCGTGCCAACCCCAGGGCCTCCCCCTCTCCCAGGAGCCTGAAGCTGGGGGCACCCCCTCTGCAGTCAGTCCCCTGTGCAGCCACAAATGACCACTGAACCTCAACAACCCCAGACAGCCTTGACAGTGCCCGGCAGACAGGAGCCACACAGAGCTGGACGTTCCACAGGGAAACGAAGGCAGGATGGAGGAGGCGCCACCTCCACAGGCACCCCAGCAGGGCTGCAGCCCAGAGCCCCTTGGTGTATGATGAACCCCTCCCCAGGAGGTTGGCCAGGGTGGGGCTCCACACAGGGCACTGTGCTCCCTGAGCCAGAGTCCAGTCCCCAGCAGTCGAGCCCTAAGACGCTAACCGGGAGGTGTGGAGAGCCACGGACGCAGGTCCGGGCGACTCACCGGCTGCGATCCTGGCCGCTTTGGCGTAGTTCCCGTTCTCGATGCAGGAGATCAGCTCACTGCGGTCCTCCAGCGTGTGCCTTCGCACAAGAGCCGGTTTGCCCCGCCCACATTTGGGCACACTAAAGCTTCGGGAGGAAGAGCAGAGGGAGTCAGGTGTCCCACCCCTGGCTTCAGCCTCTCTCAGGTTTCGTCCCGTGGGCTGCCCGCCACCAAGCTGGCCACGCGTCCTGCCGGACACCCCTGCAGCCAGGCAGGCCTGTGGGTGCACAGGTCTGGAGGGAGTGAGCCTGTGGCAGGGGGTACTCAGGAGGCCAATGAGACAGGCAGGGCTGTGCTCACTGCCAGATTCTGGGAGGAAAAGATCAAGTATCAACTTAATTGCAGTTTCTAAAATTGCGTTCCTATTTCACGTAGTGTTTTTCCTACTTCTGCTTGAATTCTATAAAGCAGATTAATATGCAGCACGGGAAACCACCCACAAGAGCAGAGCACACATGAATCCCAGGCCAGAATTTTTCAGAGGGCATTAAGATGGGAGCTGGAACATCCTGGTCTCCAGGACAGCCAGGCAGGGCGGGTGGCTCGGGAGATGCGTGGCAGGAAGTGCGGGGCCGCGGTGCCCACCTCGAGTCGCAGAGCGGGCTGTTGCTGGAGGAGATGCTGGACTCGGAGGCGCAGCGTCGTCGGGGTGTGGCTTTCCTCCCCAGGCCGCCGCCTGGCTCCTGCTCGCTCCTCGTACCCCCAAAGCCGTTGGTGAGACCTGGAACACAGGCAGGCCAGCCCTGAGCTCAGCGCAACCAGGGCGTGCCCAAGCAAGACTCAACTAGGTTCCACTTGGAACACATCTTACAAGGAACGTTTCACACACAGGTAAGACAGCATCTTCCTTTTCACTCCCAGAGTACAGTCCTTACAGTAAGCAGACACCAAAGTTACTCGTTAAATGAAATCAATGTAACAAATTGCAGTCAGCTCTGACCACAGTAGTTTGCTGAGCACCGTGAAGATGCTCCTCTTGACAAGCCCAGGTCTTTAAACAGGCTCTGTGAAGGCAAAGAAAGGATGCCGTGAGCCTGCCACAGGAGCAGATGTGCAACCTGTGAGTGCAAACACGGGGGTGGCCTGTCCACATGGGCACACGCCGCATCGGGACGGACCCTTCACCAGGCTGAAGGGGTCACCAAAGACACAAAATCGTGTTCACGGGAGCAGAGTTCCAGGGAACAGGAAATCAGGTTTTAAAAAGAAAAAACCTTGGTTCAAAAGACAAGTGTTAACATGAAGTCAAAAATGCTGACGAAACACTTTAAAACAGAGAATCCGGGGCCATCGCCGTGTCTGAGTGTATCTGGCCTCACTCACTATGAAGCTGCGATCACTGGCATTCAAGTATTATACACAGCTACACAAAACACAGTCTACAATTCCATCATCTCAACATTTGAAAAATAAGGCAAATCTCAGTATTTTCCCCCTAAAAAGGCCTGACTTTATGTCAGTCAACAGGAAACAACATATGTGCCCAAGGTCCCCCCACGAGGTCCCCCACGGGAGTCACAACAGGGGGACGATGTTCCCGCCAGGGCAGCCTCTGGGTGTGAGAGCTGAAGCGGTGTGTGAAAAATTTTTTTTTTTTTTTTTCTTGAGACGGAGTCTCGCTGTGTCGCCCAGGCTGGAGTGTGGTGGCGGCGCGATCTCAGCTCACTGCAAGCTCCGCCTCCTGAGTTCACGCCATTCTCCTGCCTCAGGCTCCCCAGAGGCTGGGACTACAGGCGCCTGACACCACGCCCGGCAATTTTTTTGTATTTTTAGTAGAGACGGGGTTTCACCGTGTTAGCCAGGATGGCCTCCATCTTCCGACCTCGTGATCCGCCTGTCTCAGCCTCCCAAAGTGCTGGGAGTACAGGCGTGAGCCACCGCGCCCAGCTGTGTGAATTTTTTTATCCAAAAAGAACCCCATTTTCTTGCCTACCTCATCCTTAAAAATTTTTAAATCTATTTCCAAAGGAAATTGTGTAATGGACTCCACAGCTCACTGCAACCTCAACCTTCTGGGCTCAAGTGATCCTCCTGCCTCAGCCTCCCGAGTGGCTGGGAGACATGTTTCAAAGGGAATGGCTGGACTGTGGGGTTTTCCACCTGCTTCGAACGCTTCCCGTCTGTTCTCAATGAGCACGACTGACTGAAACAGAGGGGCTAAATCAACCTCGGTGAACAGCTGAGAAGGAAATGTGCAGACTAGGCAGGCGCCGTGCTGCCCTCCACAGACTCAAGTCAGACACTCGCTCTGTGTCTGCTGGACTGGAATGTACCGTGAGCTCCTAACGAAGCTCTGTGTTTCTCATTTTAACCTCGGTCATTTTAAGGCAGGAAATACAGCCAGGTGGGGGTGTCATACTCATTTTTGGCAAGGGAACAAATAAACGCAAGAATCTACAGTAGAAGGCCTTGAGCCACATGCTGAGCTGCCCCAGGGCTCCACATCCTCCCCACACTCATCACAGAGCAGCTCAGACCCTGCACACTCAGGCCCTGAAGGTGTCTCAAGAGGGAGTTAAAAGTCCTGTCCTGGCCCCTGAGGACCCCTCAGGAGCAAGGACTCCATCCCTACTCCCACCTGAGTGGGTGAAGGCAGGGGAAGCCCACCCAGCTTGCATCAGCAGTGGACGGACGGAGCCCAGCACCCCTGCCAGCGTTCAGCCCACAGGCCCAGGGACGGGTCTGCCAACGCGTGTGAGCCGTCTCCAGACAGCAGCCACCAGCCTGGCGACCCACACCCCACAGCCAGGCCCCCAGCGCACTTCTGACCCCAGGTACGGGGTGAGCAGATGCGGCCCAGGGCCTGGGTGGGGAGGCTTTGAGTAGTTACTGCTCCGCCGAGCAATGGCCACCTGGGGGGAGACGAGGACCAGTGCAGCCTTCACAAGACTGCCCAGTGACGCCAGCCTGAGGGCCCCAGCACTAGAGCACCCGCAGCTGTGCCGGCACCTGCAGCCCCAACACAGCCAGGCCATGCACAGGCCACTCACTAGCCATGACGGCCCCAGCTCCATGAGCACCACCGCATGGAGTGGGGCCAGGCAGGGGATTAAAACACAAGTCAAGTCCTTAATTCTCAGAAAGAGGAGAATGATAAAATGCCCGTCTTAATTTTCTTAAGCATTCAGTGAGTGCACATATGACGCAAGTACACACAGAGGTTCCGCGTGTCACCCGTGAAAATGTGACAGCGCCCAGGAAGACGTGGGCAGCACGGACAAACCCAGACCAACCAAGACGCCACCCAGAGAGAGGCCTGGTGGGGGCGCGATGGCCGCAGGGCCTGACAGGCAGTTTGGGGGCTACAGCAGTGCAGGGTCACCCCAGAGGCCAGACCAGGCCACAGACACGGCCCGGGAGACTCTGCGGCCACTGCCTGGAGTCCCCAGAACCTCAGGGGAGCTTCGAGGTGGCCTGTGCTGCCCAGACCCTCCCAGCCTCCACCTGGGCCACCAGAAAATAATCTAAGACAGCTATGGTTCTGAGATCTCTCCATCTCAGCCCTGCCAACTCCCGCCCTGTGAGGCTCTTCTGGCCAGCTGGGAGATGTCCATCATGACGCGCACCCTCGGCACCCCTGCAAGGACCTCAGCCCAGAACATTCTGAAGCCCAGGCCAGCCTTGAGGTGGGAGCCAACGTGGGGAACCCAGGGCCTGAGGTCTGCAGAGATGGGTGCCTGGTCCATGAGGCATTTGCAAACTGCAAGCACTGACATCGGGCCCAAGTCTCTAAATTGTGTATACAGCAGGGGGCAACTTTCAGCAACTTTTTCAGCACGAGGTGTTTTTTTAATGCTGAAAGTAAAGCTGGTGATTGTGCAAACTACATTAAAAGAGGCGGCGGCTGCCAGGGAAGGGCCACTGTCCCCTCAACCCAGGAGCTGCATAAACTCCCACAGCGGCCAGGGTCTGCCCACCCCCAAGGGGCCTTCCCAGTGACTTCCTAGGAGGCCAAAGACTGAACACAGAAATGTCCCTCTCTACTCCCAAAGGAGATGGCACAAAGGAGATGGCGCAAAGGTGTCCCACAGCCCAGTCAAGCGTGGTCCCTGGAAGCCTGCCTGTCACCAGGTATATCCACAGCACACCTGTAGCTGCCCTGGGAGGTCCCCAAAGGGTCTTCTGAGAGACTGCAGGCCACGGCAGCTGGGACACCGCCCCTCCCCACAGGGAAGAGACGCCCCGGGGCCCACCTGGGGAGGCGGAGGCCTGCAGGTCTGACTGATGGGCCATAGTCTCCTCTAGCCTCAGGTTCCCAGCCCCTAACCCATATGGACACCACAAATCCTCCAGGCCACAGGTACAAGAACACCAGGCCCTGATCGGTGGCTGCCAAGACGCCTGAGGGCAGGGAGCCATGGGAACACATCCCCACAGCCCAGGATACAAGCCCGCCCCTGCCCACCCCTGCCACCAGCACCCAAGCTGCCGCCTCGGCTTCTCTGGCTCATAGGAAGCTTGGCTGTATGAAGCAGGTGGGCTGAGCCTGCACCCCGAAGACCTGGGCCCTGAGGGCCCCACGCAGTGGCAAAGGCTCCAGCATCCACGCTGCCCCAGAGGTGGGAGAGCCCATTATCTTCTGTTTTCAGTTTCACTTTTACCGTCGTTAAAAGGAGAGCATTTTTGGTGCATTTTTCAACCTCTCAATAAAAACACACACAGAAGAGGAGTCCAACAGCACTCTGCTCTTGCTGGGACCCGCTCCGTGATAACACAGCCGGGACGGTCAGAGGCAGACCCAAAGCCCAGGCCAGACGCCTGCACAAGACTTGCTGGGACCTGCTCCACGACAGTGCAGCTGGGGACAGTCAGAGATAGACCCAAGGCCCATCTCGCTGGGACCCGCTCCGTGACGATGCAGCCAGGATGGTCAGAGACAGACCCGAGGCCCAGGCCAGATGCCTGCACAAGATCCCAGGCGTCCAGGGATGCCCCATCCAACGAGCAGGACTTCTCAGTTGGCCGCAGGGACACTCAGCGTGGCAGCCAGCAAGAGATAAACAGCAGCACTGCTCAAGAATCCACTGGGGATTATGGGGAGAAAACAGAGCAAGGGGAAGTAAGGGGAGAAGAAAATCAGGTAGAAAACCCAGAAATAGAGAAGATGCTAGCAAGTGAGTGAGCACGCACTGTCCATGCCACATCCTCAGATGGCACCGAGCCAAGTTCCTCCATACCCCACGGCACCAACACAGCACAACGCGCCTGGGCATGGCCGCGGCACGCGAACCAAAGGTCACTACGGGATGGCTCCACACGCTCAGGACAGCCTCAGAATGCTGTCCACTGTGTCGTCGGCTGCAGCAGGCTCCCAGCCGGTGCCGGGCTCTCCTCTGCGTCCTTTGTGACTATCCAGAGGGAAGGCTGAGGCGCCGCGACATCCCACCAGCTCCAGGCGTGCACCGGGCGCCAGCACCATTCCCACTGCCGGGCTGACTTACAGAGGGGGCGGGCTGGGGTGGGGGAGAGCTCCTCCAGGGCTGCTGTTTGTGTTTGTGTTTAGAGGATGTTTGAGCTGATGATTCCAATGGGATCCGCAAGAATTAAGTGAAAGGCAAGATGCAGTGATCTTTGTGTGTTCCAAAACGGCCGCTTAGCAGAACTCCAGTCCAAGTTGAGGTAAGAGAAAATGATTAGGGTCCAAAGAGTGAACTACCCAGCACATTAGTGGTTAAAGTGAGAACCTGGAAAACAGTGAAAAAGCCATTTAGTCCGAATGAAGGGCAGGACAGCTCAGCCTCCTCCCTGAACCGCCGAAGGACACCAAAGACACCTCGCGCTCTCACGCCCCACCACGTGCACACGGAGACTCTCGCGGCAGGGGTCTCCGAAGGGCGGCGAGTGGACAAAGACACCCCCCGCGGTCTCACGCCCCACCACGTGCACATGGAGACTCGCGGCAGGGGTCTCCGAAATGGTGGCGAGTGGAACACCGCTTCAGGTGACGGTTCACTGCTGGCGAGCGCGCAGCCGCGGGGGAAGGAAGCCACGAGCCAGGGCCAGCCTCTGGGGCTGGGCCAACGTGGAAGCACAAGGCCGCTGCACCGCACTCAGGCGGGAGGCCCACAGTGAGTGCTTCGCCTCCGGACCGGCAACCCTGTTCAGCCTGACTCAGAATCGTGCGCGTGCTGGTAAATGCCAGAGCACTCCTTAAAGTTCAGAGCACACAGATGAATGTTTGGAAAACATCAGAAGGTTCCGAATAATCCCTGTCCTAAGACTGAGAAGAACTGCAGCTCGGAGCAAGAAATTCCCCATGTGCAGAGCACCAGAAGGTTCCGGTGAACCCAAAGCGAGGGTGGATGGTGGAACTGGCACCATTCAGAGCACGCCCAGCCCTCCCCCGGGCACCTTGGCCGCAGCAGTGGAATGCTCCTGCTCGCGAGGGCCTGGTCTATGCTGCTGAGGCTCCCCGCTGCTCAGGAGAGAGCTCGGGAACTCGCCGCGCCTCCACGGAAATCCACTGTCACTCGGGAATGAGAGAGCAGAAAATCTCCACTTCAGTCAGGATCAAAGGGCACCACAATTCTCAAAAGCCACCATGGGCCACGCGCACTGAAGGTCTGCAGTGAGACTGCTCTACACCACTGTCACCACGGGAATCCCGCACAACACTCCACTCCGGTGTAGGACAGTGGCCTGGAGGGGACACGTGCGCTTCTACAAGGGACATCTGATGCGCGAGCCTGAGCGGTTGCTGAGGACGTGGCCGCCAGCCGGCAAAACCCTGTCCCCGGGGGGAGCCACAGCCGGGGCAGGGCCCGGTCGCTGGCGCCCCCTGGTGGAAGCCACCACATGAGCTTCCTGCCGAGTGCGGAGGGGAGGCCGCCCCAAGCCCCGCCCCGCGGCCAGCAGGGCCTCCACGCACAGAGCCCCACACCTCCGTCACCGACAGACGTGAAACCCCCAGGAAGCGGAGCGCCAGCCGAACTCCAAGTTCTGCGTGCGGAGGGGACGCCCACACCTGCACCGAACCAACCCCTAGTACCCAGCGCACAGCACCCTGACCCGATGCATCGCAGGACCTCCAGGGCGCTTGGAAAACCAGGTCAGAGAGTCACCAAAGGTGGCTGAGAAAGGCCAGCGTGGTTAAGAGACATCCCCAAGTCCTGAGTCAAGGGCCACCTATCCTTATTGGTATCTTGTGAAGGATTTCAATAGCCTCATATTACTTAGAAATCAAAAAAGCTTTTTCCAATTATTTTAAAATGCCAATTTAGTATCAATCCATCAAAGTAAAAGCACATGGGCAGAAAATTTCTACACAATTCATTTATGTGCAAAATTTTCATACAAATCAAAATGACATTTACCAGAAATTACTTTGGCAACAAGAGGCATGACCTGATCGCTGGCAAGGGTGGGAGGTGCCCTTCCTTCCGCACAAAGACCTAAAGACAGCACCTGGTCTCGCTCCCCTCCCCGACGCTTCAGGCCAGAGACCAGCAGAAGGAGCAGGGTCAAGATGTGAAGAGTGGCCTGGGCGGGTCTCGCCCACCACAGCCCTCCGTCTGCGACCGGCCCGACGAGGCTCCGCGACACAGGGCTCACTCGCCGCCCCTCTGGGAAATAAGCACCACCACCCAGCCCCACTCTCTCTCGCTGCCCAAGTGCACGAGGAACCACCGCACACCAGCACAGCCAGAAGAAAACGCGCTTCCCCTTATCTAGGTATAACAGGCAGGCAGGACAGCCAGGAACCAAGCCTTGACTTGGGACAAAAACCAGAATGACAAACATGCTCCAAACACGCTTCCAGAAAGGAGACACTGGCAGCCTGACCTGGCACCTCCAGAAGCGCAGCCGGGACTGAACAAGCAAACCGAAGACAGGGGCTCCTCTTAAAAGGACACAAACTCCTCGACTTCCTCTGAGGGGCGGGGAGCAGAGGCTGCAGGAACACAGCTGCCCTCCTCAAATGCTCTCGGCACACATGCACACACACAGGAACACCCTCGCCAAGTAATTCAACGGAGTTCAGTTACGAAAGCGCAGGAAGAGATGAGAAGCACTTTCCGGTGCTATTTCGGCAGGTCCTAATACCTCATCACATATGTGGCTAACAGGGCCACATAAAACAGTGAGGAAACGTTGCTGAAATCAACTGCAAAGTACCGCATTTACCATGAGGGCAGGTCCTCTGAGAGGCCCAGGAAGGGCCAGGCTCAACCCCGGTGTCCTACGTCTGTGGGGCTGCAGGAGACCTGACTGAGGGGTGCAGAGTGGAGCTCCCACAAGTGCTGGGAGCGGCCAGTCACCAGTTTACCCAGATGTGCACAGCAAAGTCAAGATGACCAATTAAAACTACACTTGAATTCATTCTCAGTACTTTTTTAAAGATGAGAAGGGGCCAGGTGCAGTGGCTCAGACATCTAATCCCAACACTTTGGGAGTCAGAGGCCAGGAGTTCAAGACTAGCCAGGAGAACACAGTGAGACCCCATCTCTACCAAAAATTTTCCAATTAGCTGGGAGTGGTGGTGTGCACCTGTAGTCCCAGCTACACAGGAGGCTGAGGCAGGAGAATCACTCGAGCCCAGGAGTTGGAGGCTGCAGTGAGCCACTCACTCTAGCCTGGGTGACAGGGCAAGACTCTGTCTCTCTTAAAAAAAAAAAAAAAAAAAAATCAGAGGAAGTATGCGCAGAAGACAGGACCAAGGACCACTGACCCGTGGCCCAGGGCAGCCCGGCAAGGCTGCACAATCTCTCGTGGCAAACAGACCCCCCCCATGAGGGCGCCGACCTCAGAACCACAATTGAAGGCTTTTGACAGAAAAAACTGCACTGCTGTCTTCCCTGGAAATTCAGAGAATGCTGCAAACACAAGCTCGGCACCCCCCCCCTCATCGCACCAAGGATCCTGAAGGACGCTCCCGGCACCGGTCGGCAAGGGCGCCTCTCAGGGCCGCCCGCGGCATTTACCTGCATCCAGGCGCTTTCCTGGGGACTCCTCCTCCACCTCGGAGTCTCCGCATGTGCTCCGCGACCTTTTCCTTGGCTGCAGAAGAGTCTCCAACCTCGGAAGGACTACAGACAAAAAGGTTTTGGTCCCTAGCTGAGGAGAAGTTGGCTGGGTTTCAGTGTTCTTGGCAGACTTTGGGGGGCTTACACTTTTCGATTTGCAGAAGAGAACAGAAGTGCGTCTGTTTACATCGCTTGCTGGCTCCGCCACCGCGGAGGCCGCCGCCGCCGGCACATCGCCACTACTGGCGCGGGTGGGCTCTGGAGGGCGTCCGCTTACCAGTGCGCTCTGAGTGCAAGCGCTATGTGATTCATTATCAAATGTGACTCTTTTGAAAAGTTTACTCTGCTCTGGGTTGAGTTCTACTGGTTTGAGGGTTGGTGGTTCTGAATTAGTCTCCGAGTTTGAAGGAAGAGGTAATGCATCTGATGGTTCAAGTTTAGGGGGAGAGTTATCTCCTGAAAAAATTATAAATAAAGTGATTTTTGAAAACTGAAGATTATAAAATCTATTATAAAACTTACTATAAATGTGAAGCCCACCAAAATACTAATTCAGTTAAGGAAACAACGCATCGCACGTACTGTCTGCTCGGCAGTGCGGCCCCGTGGGCTCGGGCCACACTGTGTGGGCTTCCCTAACGCCAAAGGCTGTGGCCCTGGGTGCAGTGCCCAGGCGCACAGTTACTTTCTGAAAAAAACTGTGAAAGATTATTTCACACGCGCCAATATTAAACACATCACTCAAGTTCATAACAATTTCTGCAATCAACAATTCACTTACCTTGAGGAAGAAAAGGTATCTCACATAACTAAAGGAGCCTTAAGTGGGCATTCCCAGAGCTCTACTGGGCCACGAGGTTCGCAAATAAAAGGAAAGAAACATTAAATCTGATCTCTGCTCAAGGTCTTCCAAGTCAAAAATGCAAAAAAAGCAAACAAACAAAAAAAGAAAAAAACGGAGTGGTGACTGGCTGTGGATGACTCTCAAGAAAGGCAGGAAAAAAAGCCCCGCTCAACCCAGCGCAGAAGTCTGTGCCACGTTCCCAAATACTGTGATGGGAGCTTTCAGGAAAAAAAAAAAAAAAAAGTTTTTAAAATAAAAAGTCTTTCGAAAAAGACTAACCTCTTTGTAAAGCCTTTTTGACATTATAAAAACCAGAAGTGTGAAATGGTACAGAGCCCGCGGCCAGGGGGACGGGCTCTATGCACTGCCCTGAGTCCAGGAGGCTGGACGGGCTCTGGCACAAGGCTGACGGGGCGAGGCGATGCCACATCAGGCCAACCACTGAGGCTTCTTCCCAAGCAGGACCGGTGCTGGCAACAGGAAGTGTGACCACTTTAATCCTTAGTATATATTGTCACTGGGTACAGCTTTCATTTCATTAAACCTGCAAACTTTTCTAAAACCGTCTGAAGTATGTATGGTTACTATTGTAATTCAAAAAGTCGTTTTGAAAATCCAAAACTACACAACAAGGCTCAGAGCAATGTTTTGAGACTGACAGAAAAAGTTCTCCCCAAGGCTGGGCCCCATGACGCCGGGCAGCAGTGCTTTTGGCTGCAAGGTGCCTCTGATTTCAAATGACACTGAGCGCCTTAGAGCGCCTCACAGCCGATTCAAATACAAGGGGGAAAGCCTCACCTCAACAAAAAGTCACCCATGCCAGCCGCTGGGAGCACAGCTGTCACGTGGGAACGCTGTATCCCAAGGCAGGGGCACACGCGAGGTGACAAAACTCCTTCCCCTCCTGTTTAACGTCGCCAACAGGCTTAAGGAAAAGGTGTTTGTGAGACACCTGGGAACGCTGGCCGGAGGCAACTGGGCAATGCGGAGAAACAAGGCTGCTCATGAGCATCTACGGCTCCAGTGTCCCTGGGCCTGTGCAGCAGCCGGAGGGGCTCAAGCACTGAGTCTGCAGCGTCCTGATGCAGCCAGTGTCTGGGGCACAAGGCCTGGGACCTCACTTCACTTCCTGCCTCCTCTTCCACCTCCTGGCCCCCCTCGAGCTCTCGTCCTGATCATGATATTCAACTGCTCACCGCAATCCCAACGGCCTCTGCAGGGCCAAAGCCAGTGGTCAACCCCAGTCTTGGCCTCTGTGAGCACAAGAGCACCAGGCCAGCAGAGATGGAGCCTGAAGGAGCCTCCTCCCAGCACCTCCAAGAGATCCCCTTACCCCCGCTTTTCCACAGCTATCTAACAGGCACTGTAAATCCCCATCTCCTGCTTCTGGCGCAACCCTCAGAACCACCACTCCTGTCTGGCAGCAGCCCTGAGACGTGCAGACGTCCCTGCCTTGCAGAGGGCCCTCCCCCACCATGGGCCACACCCCCTCCTCCACACCTCCAGCTCTCGGCCCAGCAAGGACGCCCCATGTGGGACTCATAACCATCTCCACGCTGCAGGGACTTCCCCAACCCCTGGTCTATCCCAAAGTGGGCCCCCGTGGCCCTGCCTCAGCCATGCATGCCCCCCACATGCACCCCACACACCCCCGACCTCTCTGCGGCAGCTCCACATGCAGGTCGGGCTCCAGCCACCAGCACACAGGCTGAGGACGTGCTCCTGCAACACTGACCAGAGGCATGAAGGAGGCCGTGGTGAGGAACAGAGGTTGCTGGCACCTGGGTGCACAGCCACCTGCCCAGCCGGGACCACACAGGCCCCTCCCCCAGCCAGGACCAAAAAGGCCCCCGGACCGTTCAGTGCCTCAGTTCCTCATCCATAAAATCAGAAAAAACAGGACCTGAGCCTCCAGGCTCCACGACACAACAGGCAAGCCCAACCCATCCCTCTAGTGGAAATCTGACTGGAAGTTAACACACAAGAAGGAAAACTCCTCTCAAACCTCGCTGACTGCGGGCCACCTCAGGCCGTCACTTAACTGCACATGAGAAAAGCTCAGAACACACTCGATACAACTCGGGCATAAGCCTCTCAGACCCCGTCCATGTATGAGTCAGGATCCTAGAATTCCAGTCCCTGGAACTTGTCACATATTCCAAATGGCAAAATGGTTATCTAATCTAAACCAGCTACTCTAAGAAACTAAAAGACCTAGTTAAGTCTGCAAGAACAATTCTGCAATATTTTGCCCACCTGGCCACCCACGATGTCAATCAAAGGCTTCTGTATCGAAGCCACAGATGCTTTGGAAAATCACAGCATAACACAGGCAGACATTTTAGCTCACGAGCGGCAACCACACTGTCCCTCCAACAACCCTGCCTCGAGCCTCCGTCCTCTGCAATTCTGAAGGGATAAAGCTGCATACTCTGCACTTCTACCCTGAGGAACACGCATCCTTTCTTGAGGGCCACAGTGCTCCACAGGCTCAGTGCCCGTGCACGGCAAAGGACCTCCACGCGTGCACGTGAAGGGCCCACAGCTGCCCTGGACTAAAGGGGACGCCCCAGAGCCTCTGGCAAAGGCATCACTGTGACCGGAAATCCCAACGACTCGAAATGCAAGCCCCTTTCACCAGTTCACAGTGCAGACCCTGCTCCTCCTGCCTGCACTGTCCTGCCTCACCATATCAGCAGACACCAACCTGAGCACACGGTGGAGATGAGCCTTCTGCGAGCTGCACATCCGTCCCACAGGCTCATCAGACAGGATGGAATCCCAACTGTGGCACGGCCCCCACCCAGCTGACACGCAGCCCCGGGGAAGTCAGCCCTGGCAGGGCCAGCTCACAGCAACAGCCTGAACCTCTGCACTCGGCAGACTGAGTCATGGCTACAGCAGAGCCTGCGGGAGGGCAGGTGCAAGAGAACTGACCAGGACCAACGGCGCAGCCCAGGAGGTGTCTCCTTCCTTCCGATACTAGAGTCTCAGGGGTCTGGCACCCAACGGCTACAGCTTGTTCAAGCTACTTCAAATGGAAGCAATATAAGTATGACATAGGTACTGTTAAATGACAATTTAAGTGAGACTGTATATTTGCCATTGAGGAATTACTATCTTTTCAGGTGTGAAAATATTGTGCTTATATTTAAGAAAAATGATGGAGAGGCTTTACTGATGAGAACGTTCCTGCTGGATTTTTAAATGTCTGATTCTTGGTTTTCGTCCTACTGTAAGTATCATAAGTTCACATTTCTATACCAACTAACAAGCTTGCTTGTGGCTGTCTTCCCTAACACTGTGTGACGTCCCCATTCCAGTCTGGCGCTCGCCTCTCCAGAGCCCCCGTCTTCTCTAAGAGGCAGGACTCTGCCCGCCCCACCTCTCCAGAGACCCCCGTCTTCTCTAAGAGGCAGGACTCTGCCCGCCCCACCTCTCTCTGGTCTGTGTGGCATTGCCTATCCCAGCCAAGCCGGGCTCTCTCTGGGGTCTTGTGTGCTGTGCCCTCACCCAGCCAGGCCGGGCTCTCTGCACAGCCTCAGAGGGTCCTGGTCCAGGAGAGGTTGCGTATGTTACCTGAACGCCTGGCCCCTTCTGCGGTTGACTGTCCATGGGAGTAAGAAATTCTCCATCCAGGAGCATCCCAGGTGTTCCTGTAGGCAGCAAGCCCCCATGGTGGATTCAGAGCGCAGGGAAAGGGCCGCTTGGGGCCTCTGGTGAGCAGGGGCCCTGGGCCTCGTTGCTAACAGCCATTCTTCAGGGCCTTTGGCCGAGGTGATTTGAAAACAGATGGGACCCGGTGATTGTGTTCCCCAGGAAGGTGCGTGGGACCTGATGACTGACAGCGTTGTGTCCTTTGGTTCACGTGGACAGGCTTGCTGGACCGCCCCGCCGCAAACAGAGCCCAACCTGGGGCCTGGAGGAGGCAGCTGAGAGAGTTGGCTGGACATGCTCCGACCTCCAGCCTGGCTATTGAAGTCCAGTGGGTCCCGGAGGGGCCAAAGCGGGAAAGCTGCTCAAAAAGGAAATTGCCTTTTCTCCGAAAGCAAGCTGATGCCACAGCACAGCCAGCCCCTGCACCCATCGGGCCAGGCTGGAGGCTGCTTGGAGCGAGGACGGAGCTCCGCTGGGGCTGGAGGGCAGGCGAGGGAAGGTAAGCCATGGTGAGGGCTGCCTCCTTTTCTTGCCGTCAGGCTTCAGGCAGGCAGGCCAGCCAGAACCCAGGACAGCGGGCAGCAGCGTTGGTGTGGCATGGAGGCTCGGGTTAGCCCAGTTCATAAAATTCACAAAGCCCGGAACACTTGTTTTACCACTGGGGTGGTGGTTTCCGTTCCGAAAGAGGACTTTAGTAATTTGTGCTGTCTGTGCTTTTTTTTCACGTAATTTATTGATAAAATTTAAGGGGCGGCCCAGTAATAAGAATTTCTTCCTTAAACTT